GTGTGTGTGTGTCCTAGGCATGTGTAGGCCCGGTGTCACTCCCAGGTCTTGGGGGTCTTGGCAGGTGGCGGACCCTCAGGCTGGGCCTTCCCTTCCCTGTGGTGATGAATACTCCTGACCTGTGTACACCAGCCTGGGGGCCCTTTCTCTCTCTAGTTGGTCAAGATGGCTCTGAGCTTCTACGGAGGTGCTCGTGGGATCACCCACGGTCACCAAGTGCCCTCTGATCCCCCTCTGACATCCAACGCTCAGATTCCAGAATGCAGGACCTGTAAGGTCAGCTCTCCCCATCTCAGATCCAGCTGAGCTCAGGGGCTGAGAAACCGGGCCCAGGGGATTCCCTTAGCCAGCGCCCCCCATCCTGTGAACTGCTTCCATTGTCCACATGCCCCCACCATATGGCCCCTTGGGCTTTCTCACCCTGGATGGGACAGCAGCCATAGACACCACCCTCCCAGAGGGACCCCCGAAGGTCGAGCTGGCTCCTGTCACTTTTCAGACCCCAACATAGTATTTGTTCTTCAGCTAAGGGTCGTGGTGCTCCCTGTACCTTGGCTGGAACCTGCTTGGATGGTGCAGGACTGTAAGGTTCTGTTCTGACCTAGTGTCATCATGAGTCAGAACCGACTTAACGGGGGCACCTAACATTCCCCCACACACACACACACATTCTTTCTTCCACCTGGCTTTCCCAATTCTCCCAGCAGGCATCCTTTCCTCACACCCCAGGGGATCCGCTCACTTAGGGCCCCATCCAACAATTGTGGGGCAAACGCCATTGGATCTGAGGAACCGCGAGCCTCCGGGGCCCTGGCTCAGCCAGAGATGTCACCTGCTGTTGCGTTCTCCACCTGGGCCTCCAGGAGGCACTGCTGGTGGTCCAGCTCGATCTCCTGCAGGAAGATGCACTCCTCCCGCTGCAGCCCCGCCACCTGGCCATCCTGCGGACAGAGAGGAGAGGGGGACCCCTTCACCTTCTGCCCCTTGACCACCAACCGACTCTAGGAGCCCGGGGTCCAGCTGGAAGCAGGCACCTGACTGGAACCTGAGGGGCTTCCAAGTTCCAGCGGAGTCAGGGTCCTGACTTTAGACCCAACCCTGGTCCCAAACCCAGCCTGGGCCCCTGCCTCCACATTCAGACCGAGTGGCTGTTCCACTCCCAGTCTCAGATGGCCTTCTAACCCCAGGCCTAGACTGATGCCGTGCCCTAACCCAGGATGGACCCACCGCTCTTGCACATTGTCCCCAGGACTTGGCCATCACTTCTTGGTTGGCTCCCCCAACAGTGTGGGGACTGTCACAACATTGTCTCCTGATGGGGCATAAAACCTTGAATAGAGCTTTCTCAGAGCCCAGAGCTGGCCCACTGGAGTCTGCCACCTCCACGCCTTCCCACCTCAGTCTTCCCGTATAGGGGTGTGGGACGGCCAGTATTACTTTGTTGCACTACAGCCTCTAGCTCCTGGGGCCAGGTCTAAGGGATGTCCAGAAGCCTGGCCATATTTTCCAGCCCCTGTCTCCATTCTGGGAGCATGTGCTGAGTGCTGGGTTCCCAGGTGGTGAAGGGGTCTCCCTCCTCTGGCTCGGCTTGCCACACCTCCTCTACCTCCTTCTTAGCACCTGAGCAATCCAAGGGACAGTGGGTGTCATGGGGGGCAGGGGTAGGTAGATGGAAGCCAAAGAGGCCTGTCTAGCCTCCGGGTGGTGGGAAGGGCGAGGAAGGCCGGAGGTTCTCTTCTTCCTCCTGCGGTGTCCTGGCCAGCGATCAGGGGTGGGGCCATACCAGGTGTGCCAGGGGAGGTTGGCGTTGAGGCAGACACGTGAGTAGGGGTGACGGCTATCCAGAAAGGACCAGTGAAAGGGCCAGGGCTTGGGAGCTGCTGCTGGGTGGGAAGGCTAGCTAGGAGCTTCCACCGGAGAGTGACTGGGCCGCTAGCAGTTGTCTCCTCTTTGGTTTTAGGGAAACGATGGCTACTAGGGCAGGTGACCTCCCTCAGTTTCCTGACCTTGGCAAGGGGAGGAGAAGGTCACAGTCCTTAGCAAGTCGGGTGGGGGTGGGGGATGTGGTAAGGGTATACCCAAACCACCTTCTCAGCTTCTCCACCAGCTTGGCCCTCCCACCCTGGGATAAGGTCCTCCCCGCTGTAGGCCCAAAGGGCCTCAGCTACCTCCCCTGCTGACTCAAAGGCTTGTGACCATGGACTTAGGAAGAGAGCTCCTGGTGGTGGTGGTGGGAGGGGCTGCTTATTTCCTTCCCTTAAAGGGGTCCCTGCCTGGCCTACAGGAACCAAGTGGGCGGCTTGACTTTGACCATTGCCTTAAGGAAATCAGCTCCCCTGAGAAAGCTGTGCCCCAGGTGGCAATAACTGCTCCACTGCTGTGGGATAGAAGCAGGGTCCCAGCTTGGACATGCAGTGCCCAAGAGGACATACCACTGAGCCCCTTCCACCTCTTCATCACCCAACACCCCCACCTTCTTGGGAGCTTTGACGACACCTCATGGTCACAGAGCTTTCTCTGCCAGAGCCCGGGAAATTTCAAGGAAACGTGTCCCTTACTTGTTATGAATGGAATTATGTCCTGCTGTGAACCCCCAAACCCTGTGCATGTGAGGCCCCTCCCCTTGGGGAGCAGGCTTTCTGAACAAGACACTGTTAGTGTCAGGTAAATCTCTTTGGCACCGTGAGCAGGGTTTCAATCAGCGAGTGAGCACAGACGGGTGCCATAGCACATGGGAGACTACCAGGGAAATGAGGCTCAGGAGCTGAAGAGGCAAGAGAGAGGACCTCCCCTGAGAGCGGACACAGAGAGAAGGCCTCCCCCTGGAGGGGGGCCATGAGTGCAAATGTTGGGTGTGGGACATAAACAGACTTTCCCCCAGCTTTGTCTCCCCCAAATATCTGCCTAACCTAAGAGGCTATTTGCCAGCACGTGGTGGGAGGTCAGATGCTTAGAGATATTCTCCCTATAGGCATTCAACCATCCAGAGCAATCAGACACTAGTGTTTCTCCCACCATAGGCAGGGCTCACACCCTGCTGTTAAGGGCAGTGGATTCCATTCCACAGAAAGCTTAGAAGAAGTCAAGTCTCCAGCTCAAGGACATGAAAAAAAAAACAAAAACAAAAAAAAACCAAAAACCCAACAAAAAACCAAAAACGAGGTTTGAGCGAAACGACTTTTACAAAAAAATTCGCTGTCACCTGAGAGAACCTTCCCAGGCGATGTCACTGGGTGCACTAACTCAGAGCAAGTTGCTTGATGCTCACCTAGTGGGAAAAAAACATCCTACAAAAGCTCCGCCCAGTGGAGCTTTTTTCCGTTTTTTTGTGTGTGGGGTACCCCCTCCCATAGTGCAGACAGCACATTGTTCATGAGTCTCCCTCTAATCATAATCCTGATGCTGCTACAGCTTTATTTGCTCAGCACACACACAGTGCCTGCCACATAGGACTCCCATATAGCATCAGATGTGAGGCTGGCCCAGGACTGGACAGTGGTTTGTCTTGGTGGACTTGGGGTCACCACTATGAGTCAAAGGCTACCAGTTGGCACCTAACTTACTGGGACTTTGAAAGAAGCCATTGGGCAAGTAGATTTGTTCTCTCCCTTTGTGGATTGGAAACCTTAAAGGATTGAGGGGATGGAGATACCATTGCCTTTTATTGGCAAACGGAGTCCAATAATGAAGACCACACAGCTGACCGTCCAATAGAGGGGTGGAGAGCAACTGGGTGTTGAGTCCCTGAATGCAGCCGTGCCTGAAGCCGGTCTACATCTGGCAACATAAGACAGTCATCTTTTTATGGCTGAGTTCTCTGTCCTATAAGCAGCGAGTCTAGACCGTGCTTTCAGAACAGGACAAAGAGCGTCATCACTGCAGGGGACTAATTCAGTCAGGGCTGTGACTGTGTGGCTTACCCAGAGGTGACGGCCACCAGCCACTGCAGGCCCCACAGAGTTAGTTACTGTCGGCTCCTGCTTGCCGTTCTCTGAGAGCGGAAGAGTGGTGAGTCAACTCCCCAACCTGATGGTGCTTGCTCACTCTTGTGGGTACAGGGTTCTTTCTGACAGACCATCAGCAGGAAGGAGAAGAGACTACAGGGGAACCCAGGGGCCTGGGGTGTCTCTAAAGAAGGTAGGGAAAAATCCGAAAAAGTCCCTTTGTCCTCCCACCAATGGAATTGAGTGCTGGCCCCAATGTGGGAAAGGGAGAGAGGAAGTGGAGACCCAGAGAGGGGTAGGAAGGCTCTAAGGTCAGCTAGCAGATGCACATTCCCAAACCCCGCTCAGATAGAACCCGGCTTCCCGGTCACTGGTCTGGACTCTATCAATCTCTTTCCATGGCTTAGCCTGGGGCCATCTGGTCAACCATTGCCCTTTGGGAGCAAGTGCCAGGGCAGCTCCCTCCAGCCCTTATCACTAAGGAATTCAGGCAGACTTTGGACTTCCTCTCCCACTTATTTTCCTACTCTAAATATCCTGCTTATCCCTTTGGACACTACAGGCACAGGAAGAGTGGGAAAATTCCCTGACAGGAGACTGCCAAGCCTGCTACTGATTCACGGGCAGGGATTTAGGGGGAGATAGAGCTGGAGTGTAGGTTTCCCAGAAAGGGGTAGTAGAGGTGGGATACGTAAGGGTTTGGCTGAGATACATCGAAGGACATTCCAGAAAGAAGGAACAATGTGTCGGAGCACAGGGCATGAGAATGCCTATGACATTCCTGATGTGGGAAGGCAGGGTGTCTGCCACTGGGGGCCCTGGGGTTCTTTAGGCAGGGGAGGGTTTGGGAATGCCAGTTTGAGCTTGGATCCCTAGGCCAGGGGGAACTATTAAAGATTTAAAGCAGGAGAGAGTGGGCGGTGTCCCACACATTAGACACAACTCCCTTGGGACCCTTTGGAGGAGGTTGCAGGTGTTGTGCTGAAAGCTATTGCAACTGTCCGGGTCAGAAGTGACGAGACATGGGTTCAGGCAGGAACAACGGGAATGAAGAGCAGGGGACCGATGGTGGCATGAACACAGAAGCCACCCCCCCCCCACTCCGACCAGAGACTCGGGATTTCCCATGTCAACTCCCTGCCAGTGTCCCCCCATATCCTGGCTACCCCATGGCAGGGAACAGAAGAGGAGCGGGGTTGTGGCGATGTTATAGACTGCTTACTTTGCCAGTGCCTCTTCATGCAGACCCGGGGACTGATGTCCTGGAGAAGGTGTGGGGGCTGGCCTTGAACACCCTCGTCTCAGCTTGACCCCAGGGTCAGGCTGACTTTAGGCTCTACGGCACAGTCACTTCTTGGAGTTCATCCCACACAGAGATTTGGGGAGGCACTTGGGATAAAGTCCCACTTTGGGGGCTTCTAAGGTCTGGGGCAGAGTCTAAACCTGTAGGGGAGGTGAGGATAGTGAGGCTGTCGCTGTGGGATGCTGGGGGCTCTGAAAGATGGGGTGAGTTCGGTTCAGTTGTGGGCTGCACCCATCTTCATATGGGAAGTCTGAGACCACTGCGACCAGATGGATATCAGAAGCCCCCCAGCCGGGTCCTAGCCGGAGACCAGGAGCAGGAGAGCCTGAGGGGGCTACTCAGTGGGATTACTGGGGAGCACCAGGCCCTCTGAAAAGAGGGGTGTGACACAAAGCAGGCTGGGTTAGACAAGACAGGAGAAAGAACTTTCTGCCTGCAAGCTGCCGAGTACCGGGAGCTGCTGGATAATGTGCGTTCCTGAGGTTTGTCAGATGGCGGGGTGGGGGTGGGGGGCCGGGGGGTGGCAGGGTTCTTTTTTCCTGTTGGAGGAGACAGGTGTCCCCATCCTTTCTCCAGAGAGCACCCCCTCCCCTAATCTAGCTTTGCGCCCCCACCACCCCATGGAAGGAGGCACCAGCCAAGAGACTCACAGGGACACTCACAGAGGAGCCAGCGGGTAAGGGAGCTGGCCAAA